GCTGTGGAAATACAGAAAGGTATTTTTTGAAAGTTGCTCTGTGCGTGTGTGTGTGTGTGTGTGCGCGCGCACATGTGTGCATGTGCCGCATGCTAATACTGGGGCTTAAACTTAAGGCCTGAGCTATCCCTTAGCTTTTTTCCCACAAGGCTGGTATTCTTCCACTTGATCCACAACTCCACTTCTGGCTTTTTGCTGGTTTACTGGATATAAAAATTTCATGGTCTTTCCTGCCAGGTGTGACTTTAAATGCAATCCTCAGATCTTGGCATCCTGCGTAGCTAGGGACTACAGGTGTGAACTGCCAGTATCCAGCAATGAAGCAGTTTATTATTTAATTTTTTTGTTACTATAAAGGTGATGTGCAAAGGGATTATAGTTACATAAGTAACATGTACATTTCTTTTTGGACAGTGTTGCTCCTTCCTTTGCTCTCTCCCAGCTGATGAAATAGCTTTAGAGCTGAGCCTAAAAGAAAAAAGAAAAACTTGACAGGAAGAGATGACTAAAATGTACCATGCCTAAAAATAACTGCAAAATTGTGGTAATAAACTTGTCATAGGGGCTGTGGGTGTAGCTCAGTGGTGAGTGCTTGTCTAGCATGCACAAGGCCTTGGGTTTAATACCAGCAACACACACATTCACACACATGTGCATGTGTGTGCATGCGCACGCGCATGTGCACGCACACACACACACACACACACACTGTACTAGGCATGTTTGGAAAAAGCAGGTAGACATATTTGGAGTGTAGTAAAAATTTAAATGGGAAAGTAGTAAGAAAACCCTTCTGAATAAAGTTAATTAAACCCAGATTATTGAGGATTCTGACCATCTATCTCCAAACTGGTATTCTGGATTTTTTTACTTAGACTTGCTGCACCCTAATCACAATGAAGTGTTAAAAATGCAGACTCCATGCCAAGCACCGGTGGCTCATACCTATAATCCTAGATACTCAGGAGGCTGAGATCTGAGGATTGTAGTTCAAAGCCAGCCCGGGCAGGAAAGTCCATAAGACTCTTTTTTTTTGGGGGGGGGGGAGGGGTCCGGTCGTGGGGCCTGAACTCTAGGCCTGGGCGCTGTCCCTCAGCTCTTCAGCTCAAGGCTAACGCTCTACCACTTGAGTCACAGCGCCACTTCCAGCCTTTTTCTTTTTGCTTATGTGGTGCTGAGGAATCGAACCCAGGGCCTCATGCATGCAAGGCAAGCGCTCTACCACTGAGCCACCTTCCCAGCCCCAGAAAACAGGAAGTGGTGTTGTGGTTCAAGTGGTAAAGCCCTCACCTGGAGCTGAAGAGCTCAGGGACAGCACCCAGGCCAGAGTTCAAGCCCCATTACCGACCAAAAAAAAATGCAGATTCCCAGGTCCCACTCTAGATCAGAACTGGGGCTGCAGTACGCTGAATCTACTACATTTGGATAATTTCCCAAGATGATTCCAATAGCTGCTAACGTTTGAGAACATTTGCTGCCATGACAGTGGCAGGCATGGGGTAGACTTTCTAGACTGGGGATGAGGTTGGGGTGGTGGGAGGGAGGGGGCTTGAGGGTCTGGAACACAGAGTGACTGGCCGTGATGGGTGGGGAGAGGCAGGAGCAAGCAGAGACCACCAAGGGGACTGAGCTGCTGCACTGGGAAGACTGGGGGGCATCGTCAGAAGTATGCACAAGGAGCCGGGCACTGGTAGCTCACACCTGTATGTAATCCTAGCTACTCGGGAGGTTGAGATCTGAGGATTATGGTTTGAAACCAGCCCAGGAAGGAAAGTTGGTGAGACTCTTATCTCCAGTTAATCAGCAAAATGCTGGTAGTGAGGCGTGGCTCAGGAATAGAGTGCCGGCCTTGAGTGAGAAAGCCAAGGGATAGTGTGAATCCCTAAGTTCAAGCTGTAGTCCCTGCATGAGGAAGCAGAGAAAGATGAAGGAGAAGAAGAGGAAGGGGAGGAGGAAGAAAGGGAGGAAGAGATGGACGAAAAAGGGAAGGAGGAGGAAAAGGAGGAAGTGGAGGAAGAGGAACAAGAGAAAGAAGAAAGGAAGAGGAGGAAGGAGACGGAAAAAATAATGACAATAACATGGGGTCACTCTGAACCTCTGCCAGTCTGTGTTTGACTCCCCCTCCCCCTCTAACATAAAATGCTTCTGGAGTTTTCCAACCGCTCTGCGCCATACTCTCAGGCTGGGCTCTTTTGCTGGGCCCCTTCCTCCCTCTGAGGCTGCCACCTTGGCCTTCTGAATCTTGTGCGCTGACCTGCTGGTCCAGCCGCAGCGTGAGTGAGCTATAACTGACCTGCCAGCTACGGCCAGAGCCCACACTGTCGCTCTGGGTGCCCATCTGGGCATTACCACTTTTTCTGCTGCTTCTCCAAGCAGAGCCAGTCTGTGCCCATAACTGCTCCAGGGGTCTCATGATGGATGCTGATGTTCAGCCTCACTTGTTCAGCTGACACCTGACACAAACCTAGAGCCCACACAAGGCATTGTGAGAAGCATTGCTCTGTCTGGAGGTCCTTCTGCCAGAGGGCTCTTATCATTCAGGCAAAATGCCCCTTCCGGTCTCCTTGACTCCCTGAGGGTCTGGTGGAGGCTCTTAGAATCTTCTCTCCGCTATGAAAGGGGATACGCTTGCTCAAGGCATTGTTCATTCTGTCTGCTCTCTTCTTTACTTCAGGGCAAAACATGGTGGCTCATCTCTGTCATCCCAACCACGTGAGAGGCAGAGATCAGAAGATTCAAGGTTCCAAGCCAAGCTAGGAAAATGTTAGCAAGATGCCATCTCAACAAACAAGCTGGGTGTGGTGGCCCGGGCCGGTCACCCAGTTACACAGGAGGCCAAGCCTGAGGCCACTTGAATCAAAAGGCTCAAGGCCCTAACCCACCCACCCCCTCCCGAAAGGAACAAAAATGGCATGACGGCTTGGGTCAGTGGTAGAGCACCTGCCCACCAGCAAATATAAGGCCCAGAGTTCAAACCCCAGGAGTGGGGGGAAATGTCCTGAGTTTGTGGCAGAGCTGGTTCCTAGCAGGTGCTCTGGGGACCCCCACTCCTTAGTGGGGGTTGTAGGGCAGATCCTGTTGACCAAAGAAGAGGCTGAGGTTTTTTTATTGTATTCTCTTAGGGAAGTAATTCATTCACCGGATAACAAATTCCAAAGATGCGGAGGTATTTATCCAGTGAAGTCTCCCTGGCGGTGTCCTGCCCCAGCGTACCTGTGTGTGTATTCAAGTAAAAGTCTACCTGGCCCTACCCTGTCAGTGAAAACAGCATCTTATACACACCTGCTGCTCACAGCTGCATAGTATGCACAGCATCAGACCTATCGCAGGCACATGTGACCGCCCCATCTCACCTGGGGCTTGGCCTATGTCCAGTGTGTTGGAATTAAGGCAACACTACAGTGGATAATTTGCCCAGGCCACCTTTAGTCATGATGGACAGTTCCAGGGCCACACACACACACACACACACACACACACACACACACACACACACACACATCTCATACCCCTAAATGAAGTGTGCATCATTTTACATAACACATGATTCCTCCTGCCTTAGCCTTCCAGGTGCTGAGATTACAGGTGTACACGGCTGTGCTGGGCACTTTATAATGAGCACCACCGGCTGCATCAGGCCTGCCCTGTTGTCAGGCAATGTCTCCTGAGCTGTCGAGGCAGAAACAGATCCGCTTTCTATCACTATAGTTTGTGTTTGTTTGTTTGTTTGTTGTCGGTCATGGAGCTTGAACTATGGGCCTGGGCACTGTCCCTCAGCTCTTCAGCTCAAGGCTAGCACTCTACCACTTGAGCCACAGCGCCACTTCCAGCTTTTTTCGGCTTATGTGGTGCTGAGGAATCGAACCCAGGGCCTCATGCATGCAAGGCAAGCACTCTACCATTGAGCCAACTTCCCAGCCATGTAGTTTTTTCTTTCAGAGAATATCGTAGAAACGTATAAAACATGCTCTTGGAGCTTGGCTTTTTCCATTTAGCCTAATTTCTTGGAGATTTCTTCCAGTCTGTTGCATGCAACAGTAGTCCACTGCTTCATGGCTGAGAAGTCTTCCATGGTCTGAGCATGCCCCAGCCTGGCTGCTTGTTTACCTACTCAATGATACTGGGGTGGCCTCCAGATTAGGGCTAATTATTAATACACTTCTGTAAACATGTGTATATTACACCGCAGATAAACATGGACGTGCCAAGTTCTCCTCAACATTGCCTAATGTTTATACCTTATTATGAGTCCATATAGAGATGATGTCAAATATTTGAAAGACACATGAAAAACTCTTATTATATTCTTCTTTCTGTAAATTGTCTGTTTCCTTTGTCCATTCTGGAGGTCAGAATAATTTTTATTTCAGGAAAAAAAAAGTGGGTTTGGGGAGCTGGCAGGCCATCCAGATGGAAATGTTTAGCATTTCATATAAAAATGCAGGACTGAGGCTGGGGCAGAGCGGCTCATGGGCAAGTACAAGGCCCTAAGTTCAAACCTCGGCTCCACCAAGAGAAAAGTGATGCAGTATAAGAAGCAGGGATATCTTACTAATGTTTTAGGAGCTAGCCATACACACACACACACACACACACACACACACACAGACTCACACGCATACATGTTTAAGGAATCATGTCCAAGTATACACAACATTTAATTGTAGTTCATGGATCTGCAGATCTCTTTTTCTTCTTACATTTTTCAGTTTTCCAGATTGTCTACAATGCATATGAATATGTCTTGGTGTCTTTCAGAGAGGAGGGGAGAGGGAAAGAAACTGGAAGAAAATCTATGCCACAAATGACATGATTTGGGTGTGCGTTTACTTGTCTTCAAAGTTTTGTAGCATTCTCTTTTCATTGAACATATGCTGTTCAATAAAACACTACTGAAGTTGTATTTCAGTTATCCAATCAAGCGTGTTTGACTCTGCCTGTCGGACAGCGAATACAAGGAAGTGTTCACCAGTGCTCTCCATTCTGTTCTCTCCCGGCAGGATGTTTTGGGCGGGGTCTTGATCACCGCTCTGCTCATCGTTCTCACCTACCCTGCCTGGACCCTCATTGACCGCCTGGACTCGGCCAGCCCCCTTTTCCCTGTGTGCGCCATCATTGTGCCCTTCTTCCTGTGCTACAATTACCCAAAGATGGATTACTACACCCCTACCAGGGCGGACACCACCACCATAGTAGCTGCCGGGGCTGGAGTGACTGTGGGCTTCTGGATCAACCATTTCTTCCAGCTCATGTCTCAGCCCGCCAAACCTCTCCCTGTCATTCAGAACATCCCACCGCTGACCACTGAGATGATCATTTTGGGTCTGACCAAATTTACAGTGGGGATCGTACTGATCCTCTTGGTTCGTCAATTTGTACAAAATCTCTCACTGCAGGTGTTATACTCGTGGTTCAGGGTGGTCACCAGGAACAAGGAGGCCAGGCGGAGACTGGAGATTGAAGTACCTTACAAGTTTGTCACCTACACCTCTGTTGGCATCTGTGCCACAACCTTTGTGCCAATGCTTCACAGGGTTATGGGATTACCCTGAACCTCCATCCTGCTGGTCCTGAGAGCCAATAGTATACTAGGAAGTTGCGGGGCAGATAATCTTGACAACTCATATTAAAATCTTAAGTCATACCCTTGCTTTGCTGATACAGCTACTGCTGTGAGTCTAACAATGATTGGTCTGTAAGAATTACGGTACAGTGGATCTGTGATGAAACCTTGAGAAAGTTCTTTGAGAACATGCTTGTCTTCTCTGTTACATGGACTTAGAGGATCTCGTTCTGGGTGGCAGGAACTGTGGCCTGGCTTAAGGAAGATCGCAGCCTTGCTGGGCTCTGGGAGTCAACAGACCTGGGGTAATGTGAAGGCAGAGCATTATTTCAATTCATGCTAGAACACAGTCTCATATCCAGTATGGGAGAAAGGACAGTGCTTTGCGTAAAACTTCCTTCCTTCTGCAGATGGACTGCCTGGGCCCATGTGGGAGTGAGACCACCCTGGTCTCTTACAGCAGGTGAGGCAGTGGGACGGGGCCTGTTGTAGGGGAGAGCCATGGTGTCCTTCAGGGCCCACAGTTACAGGGAGCTGGGAGGCCATCCTTGAGCCTTCTGCAGGTCCACGGAACGATGGGTGAAGGCCATCTCACAGGTAGATACCAGGGTGGGAGGGGCCGATGCTCCTGCCCCCTCCTCTCTCAATCTTCACAGCCTTCCACCATTTGGGCTTTTGCACAAACCCAGAAGGCCCTGGCTCCTGTCCACGAGCAGAAGAACTTTATCCTTTGTCGGACCTGACCAAGCGGGGCCTAGGTCTCCCTAACATTGCCTGATCCTGACAAAACCTCCTGGCACCACGCTTTCTTTTCTTTGTTACTTTCTGGAATTCTATTACTCATCTACTAGTTAGCACCTGGGGCTTCCTTTCAGTCTTCCCACCTCTGATCTCGGGGCAAATTTTACCTCTCTTGGGAAAACAAACGAAGCAAAAATAAAATAAGTAATAAATATACAAACAAACAATACCCATTAAACCTAGGACTGGGCTGGGCACTGATGGGTCACAACTATACTCTTTGCCACTCAAGAGGCTGAGATTTGAGGATCGCCATTCAGAGCCAGCCCCAGGAGGAAAGTCTGTGAGGCTTACCTCTAATTAACCACACACACACACACATACACACACACACACACACAGAGCCAGAAATGGAGCTGAGGCTCAAGTGGTTAAAGTACTAAGCCTTGAGCAAAAAGAAGATCATGGAGAGATCCTAGGACCTGTGTTCAAGCCCCAGGACCAGCATAAAACCAAACCACTCCAAAACCAAACCAATCCAAAACCAAACCCTAGGACCATCCTGGTTAGACTTGGAAAGGAGATCATTATGCGAACACCACAGTTCCCTGCCAGGGATCCTCTTCAGCTCTTACAGATAAGGAATGGGTTCCAATAACTTGGTTAAAGGCTAGGATAAAGACAGGGTTGGCTACGTACGGTTTGAAGAATGGCCCCTAAAGCACCAAGGTCAGTGTTCTACATCACTAGCCCTTCACCTGCGCTTGTTGGACACTGCAGGGGCTCAGACCTGTGTACCCAGCACAAAGGCTGCCGCTACCCTCACGAGGCCTCAAGGCCTGGCGGTTGGGGTTTTCTTTGGTATTTGGCTCCATACTACAGTTTCTGAAGAATAATTCTTAGCAAAGCATTCCATTCTTTTACTTAAAGTTATTTTCCCATTTATCAGCATTCAAAGGCAGGGATTGAAATGGCCCAGGGTTGACTGACCAGTCTTTGCAGTCCCATGAATGGGGTGCAAGGAACCCCATGTTACTGGTCTCCCTAGCCCTTTGGGGCTGTGGCTGTTCGTGGAAAAGGCTTCATCTGTCTCTGTCCCCCAAACTATGGTGACAAAACTGGATAATATTTACACCAAATCATTTCAGTCCAATTGTCTGAAGCCAAGCCACAAAACATTGAGCTTTCCTACTTGTATCTTTGGAAAAGAGGGCCTTGGGAAACATTTTTACAGCTGGCCCTTCTAAAGTCCACCAGTAGGAAAGGCCTCAGTAGTACAGATACACTTAAGGCTCTGTTTATATAATTTGGAGTGAGGATGGATATATTAGCCACACAACTTAAAGAATCACAAGGACTTGTCCTGATTGGTCTACCAGTCTCTGAGAACAGCTAGACTTTAAATAAGTGTTCATTCATAAGTCCAACCTTGACTTAGCATTCTCCTGTTTGGTGGCACAGAATCAGATAGAAACTGATTAGAGAAAGTTATTAACTCTATTTAAAATGCTACCTTTCCCAGACACTTCAGAGCTTGTGTTGGGTCTCTTTAAGACATCTAGATTCTCTCTCTGGATAAAGGCTGCCCCCTGCTGGCTTGTCTATAGTTAGTTCAGACCCCTCTTCTGGAGTGGAAGATTGTGAATTTACAAGTTTGGCTCCCCACAATGTGGCCATAGAAAGCTTTACAACCTGGCTCACCTGGATGCCAGAGCTCTCAGGATTACTGGTTTTCTTCCTACCTTGTCTCCATTCTGCCCTCAACCTGCTACGACTCAGGATATTTCCCCTGGAACCTTCATTCTGCCCAGCTATCATTTTGTGCTAGACTTTCTCAAGCCTGTACCATAACAGAAAACAGGAAGAAAGAACACAGGTGGGAACCTGAACTGAAGACCCTTAGATGCTAGTGGCTTAAATCGCTGGGCGCCAGGCCCAGTGGGGCCACGCTTCCCACGCATCATCACAGCACGCAGTGCCAGGCCGCACACGCCAGCATTCTTTGCTGGAAGCAGGAAACTATCTTGCTTATGTACTGTATGTAAATGTATTCTTCCTAAAGGAAAATCTTTTTTGTTGGACTGTAAGTTCTAATTAAATGCCTTAAAAGCTATTATCCTGGACTTTTTTTTTTTCTCATAACCTAGGTCTTTTTCTCTGGACGCACGGGACTAGAGTCAAAAAAGGGGGCAGGAAGGATAGGAACAAAAACAAATCCAATGTTAGGGGCCTGGTGTTGGTATAGTCGGGAGTCTGAGATCTGAGGATCACAGGTGGCAGCCAGCCTAGGCAGTCAAGTCCATGAGCATCTTATCTCCAATGAACCACCAAAAAGCCAGAAGTAGAATTGTGGCTCAAACAAAAAAGCTAAGGGATAGGTGCCCACGCCCTGAGATCAAGCCCCAGTACCAGCACCATAAATAAATAAGTTCAGTGGCGCGCTACGTCATCCAGTTGCTCCCATGATTTGGTGAGCGTCACAGAGACCACAGGTGTTCGCTGCAACTCCTTGACACTGAAGAGCCTCCTCTCACTGTGTGTGGAGTCTGCACAGGTGATGCTGAAGCCTACATGCTACCAGCGCTGCGAGTGCAGGCAACTAACAGCGTTTCACCGATGAGTTCACTGTCTTCTAAAGAGAACAAACAGTCCCCCAATTCAACTTCATTCACATCACTACCTTTAGGCACCCCTGTGGTTTGCAAGGGCAAGCCAAGATTCTCTTTCCACGGTGAGCAGTGTGTGTGTTTCATACGTGCATGCTGTGCGCCACGGGGGCGGAAGGCTCCCCCTTCCTTGTTCTGGGCAGGTTCTCCAGAGCTGTACTGTCTCCCAATGCAGAAAAGAATGACAGATAACGACCTGGGGTAACAGGGGTGTGGGGAAAGAGAGCTACACCGTGGGATCTGGGAGGACAAGGAGACTGATCTTGAGATGATCACAGCAACTCGGAGAAGGCTTTGTGGAGACAGGCTTCCAGGACAAACCGGGTTTGCCAGGGATGGGTTGGGGACTAGGAACAAGATGCTGCTCCATGCTAAGGAATAGCTAGCTAGTCAAAAGGACTTCCTCAAATCCCTAGCAGGTAACAAGGGGAAACCAAAACCCTTGTCATTGGCAACTGTGTCCAAGGAAGAGACATCCAGAGGTCTCTCCATCAACCTCACCGGAATATTTAACTGTCTGCCTTGGGCACACTCCTTATCTGCAATATCCCAATAGCTCTCATGCTTTATTTCAAAGTTCTGTCTTGGCAAGATGGCCAGCAGCAGGGACTTGTTCTGGTTCTTCATGGTCGCTGCATTTCCTGACCTTCTCTTTGATTAACTGCTTGAAGAAGTCCTGAGGAACTTCATTAAATATTTTTACCTAAATTAGGCACCAGTGGCTCACTCCTACAATCCTAGCTACTCTGGGAGGTGGGTATTGTGAGGACTGCAGTTCAAGGCCAACCTTGGAAAGCAGGAAAAAGTTCATAAGACCCAATCTCAACCAAATATCTAGCTGGGCACCTGCACCCCAGCTATGATGACTCACTGTCTAGACCAACTTGAGCAAAAAGTTGAGACAGGATCTCAAAAGTAAGGTATGGAAGCTGGCTCACTCTCATAATCCTAGCTACCCAGGAGGCTGAGATCCTGAGAATGGTGATTCAAAGCCAGGGCAGAAAAGTCTGTGAAATTCCATCTCCAAAATAACTAGTAAAATGCCAGGCTAGAGGCATGGAAAAAGTACTAAAGTGCCAGCAGAGCAAGTAAACTGGGCAAGTTTGAGTTCAAATCCCAGTACTACCCAAAATTTAAAAGGTGTGGGATAGGGGCTGGGAAGGTGGCTCAGAGGTAGAGTGCTTGCCTTGCATGCATGAGGCCCTGGGTTCGATTCCTCAGCACCACATAAGCAGGGAAAAAAAAGCCGGAAGTGGCATTGTGGCTCAAGTGGTAGAGTGCTAGCCTTGAGCTGAAGAGCTGAGGGACAGCGCCCAGGCCCAGAGTTCAGGCCCCACGACTGGACCCCCCCAAAAAACCAAAAAACAAAAGGTGTGGGATAAAAGGTGTTAGATATGTGTCTCAAGCAGTAGCAAGGGCAAAGCCCTGAGTTCATGCCCACCACTACTCTCTCTCTCTTTCTCTCTTATACTCCAGTCCTGGTTCTCTGAGGACTCCTAAGTGTCTGATCCTTTCTCTGTCTAATGACTCTAAGAGTAGTGCTTTGTTTTTTCACCCTGAACCAAGCAGAAGAGCAGTATATATTTACCTTATTTTAAACAGTGTCTGCCTCAAAACTACTGAGCACTGAAGGGATGCCTTTTAAAATTCATTGGCTGAGTGCCGGTGGCTCACAACTGAAATCCTAGCTACTCAGGAGGCTGAAATCCAAGGGTTGTCATTTGAAGCTAGCCCAAGCAGGAAAGTCCATGAGATATTTATCTCTAATTAACCACCAAAAAGTTGAAAGTGGAGCTGTGGTTCAAGTGGTAGAGCACTTATCCTTGGGCAAACAAGGTCAGAGACAGTGCCCACGCCTGAGTTCAAGCCCCAGAACAGCACCAACCCACCCCCACCCCGCCAACTCATATGGTGATTCTTCATTTTTAGAAACATAAGGCTTTAATAAATTACTCTGGGCACATCCGTTGTTTTCTTAAAGTGGGGCACACCTGTAGTACAGACTCAAATATTTACAGATGTACACACTGAGAATGAGAGTTGAATGTGGGCCATGAATAGAATGCTACATTCTTAAAACCATGGCCACATGAGACAAGGGAGCTATATGAAGCCAGAAATTCTTCTTCCTTTTCCACGCCTGTCTATATGGCATGCAAAAACAAACAAGAAAAGCAGGAATGGAGCTGGGGAGTTCCGGCTGGAACCCGTCTTTAATGCACACACTCAACACATCTGCTAACCTTGCTCTTTTTCTCCCTTGCTTTGACATCAGGAAGCACAGGCAAGGAGTCTTTCCACTGTAGGTGCTTAGTCAGTAGCTCCTAATCTACACAAACACCAGCTCCATTCTCGGAGACTGGGACATGGGGGTGATCGGGCCCATGATGTCTCAATGCTCCTCCTGCCTGCAAGGACGGCACCATGCACCCACAAGGGTCTGGGGAGGAGTGAGGTCTCCCAGGCTTCCAGTACCCCAGTCACATGGGAACCAGATGGGCAGCACTAGGAGGGGGGCAAATTATGCACAGCACACTCTAAACACAGACCACTTGAGCCATCTTCATTCGAGACTGACTCCAAGATGTTCAAGTATCTTGAAATCCAAAGGATTTCCATTATGCCTCCTTAGAAACCCCAGCCCACAGCCTCCTCTGCACAACAGGTAGGCGTGTATTCTCTACAAGTCACACTGATGCAGGCCGTCTGCCTGAACTGATCTTCCTGCAGCACAGCTGATGTGGTGCCTCTGTCTGGTTTCGCATCATCTGCCTCAGTAACACCCAAAGTTCTTGGTTTAAATGTCCTGCTTCAGGCCCACCGCTGAGAGCTCTAGGTAATCCACCTATCTCTGACTGGGCTTTTATTCCTTATCTACTCAGCACCAAATGAGGACATCTATCAGGCTTCTGTCTGCAACTGGCTTCCTGTTGGCCCTAAGGAGGTGTTCATTTCAGAGCCCAGGTATATATTAATTTCTCATGACAAAAAACAAACAAAACCTGGCCTGTGGGAAAGTAAATTTTCCTTGCTAGCAACTTTGATATCCAAAAGGCACATTTTCTGGGCTGGAGGCTTGGCTCAGTGGTAAAGTGCCTAGCAGGAGAAGGCCAAGTTCAAATACTAGTAAAGGGGAGGGGCCCATTTTCTGCACATCTCACTTTTCTGTACAAGAGGCCGGCCTTGCTTGCTGCCTGATAAGCCTTCCAATTCCAGAGTGGCAGAAGCTCTCAGCCTTGCCAGTACCCAGCACTGGTGAGCTGTTCCAAGTTTCCTACTGCAGAATGATGCCACATTCCAGCCTTCCTTAAACGAAAACCATCAAGGCCAGCCCTTATGAATATGGAGTAATAATGTAGACCTGGCACATATTCTCACCACACTGAGCAAGGAGAGAAAAAAACATGGGGTTTAGGCCAGATGTAATCTTACTGAGCCTTTTGCTGGAGATAGTTATTTATATGACATTGTGTATGTGTAAGGTAGCAAGCTTTTAAGAAAGCAAGTTCTCTGAGGTCTTTTCTAAAGGCACTAATCCCGAAGGCCTTATCCTGATGCTGTCAGTTGACGTCATCTAATTGCTTTTCAAAGGCAAGAGGGGGGGGGGGAAGGGGAGAAAGAGGGATCCCCATTCTGTAGCATAGTTTCAAACTAATTTATTCAAGATATGTAATGTAGGATATCCAAGTTTATGTTGTATACCATTACAAATTAAACTGTGACGCTAAACAAATGGAAAGAAACTATTAAAAAAAAAACCAAAACTCAACAAAGGCCTCATCTTCAGGTACCATCACATTGGTTTATACCATATATAAGATTTTGGAAAGACACATTCAGTCCCTAACAATATTCAAGATCTACAGGCTAGGAATATGGCTTAATGGTAGAGGGCTTGCCTTGCATGCACGAACCCCTGGGTTTGAGTCCTCAGTACCACATACACAGAAAAAGGCAGAATTGGCACTGTAGCTCAAGTGATAGAGTGCTAGCCTTGAACAAAAGAAGCTCAGGGACAGTGCCCAGGCCAGAGTTCAAGCCCTGGAACTGGAAAAAAAGAAAAGCAATATTCAAGATCCTTATAAACATAATTAAAGCAGAACTTGAATGTGATTGGCTGGGTCAAGTGCTCTCTAATCACTAATAGGTTCAATTTTGCCTTAAGGTAGTTTTGTCCCTTTTTGGCCAAAAATGTTCTTTCGGATAAAATAGAAGAGCCAAAGTTAATACCCACACCTTGGAGTTGTTGATGTTTATATATCACAGAGACCAGCTTGAGAAGCCGATAAGCAATGTCCTCAGTCACTGCTGAGCCTGAGCAGTGGCTATGCTGGCTGATTCCTAGTTAGGACACTCCTGTCTAAAACGCTAATAGTCAATTCAACATGCTTTAAATTCAAAACACATCCTCTGACCTGGTAATACCTCCATGGAGGAATATAAGCTACTTTACAGACATTTTAGTGGGTATGCAGATTAATATGGTGGGTTTTGAGTTTTTCTAATGATTAAGTGTGTGTGTTTTGAGTACTGGGGCTTGAATTCAAGACCTTGAGTTCTTGCTGAGGTTTAACACTCAAAGCTGGCACTCTACCACTTGAGTAAAAGCTCCACTTCTAGCCTTCTACAGGTTAATTAGAGATCAAAGTCTCATGGACTTCCTGACCCAGGCTGGCTTCAAATCATGATCCTCAGACCTTAGCCTCCTGAGCAACCTGGGCCTGGCTACAAATCCTCTTTTTAAGAGATGGAGTCTAGATTAAGGCAGGAAATGACAATGTGAGACAGGGAGGACTGACAGGAAACTAAGCTTCAGGGAAAGAGAGCTCTTACACCTTCCTCTAAAGCAAGACACAAACTAGTTGCTTAAGTTTATAACTAGTTATAGCATGTATGGCCTCAGACAAAATATCTTTCATGCTTCCTAAGGTCACACTGCGGTGTCAATCTTGTTCTCTTCAGCTCTTATAGCACAGCATATGCTCCATACTACATATACTTAGGGTACCATAAACGAGAGCAAAAAAGACTTCCACCTCCTCAATCATTTTGAATACATGTGTTACATGTTTTTCTTTCACTTTAAAATGACTTCAAAAGGGCTGGGTATGTGGCTCCAGTGGTCAAGCAGTTGTTGTGCATGTGCCAGGTGCTGAGTTCAATTCCCAGACATTGCCAAAAGCCATGCAAGCAACCATAAAATGACTTCAAAAACTGCAAATGTCTGACAACAACTGATTCTTTATTTGGGGGAAGGGAGTGCCAGTTCTGGGTCTTCAATTTAGAGCATGGGCACTATCCCTTAGTTTTTTTGTTTAAGGCTAGCATGCTGACACTCAAGCCTCAGCTTCATTTCTAGCTTTGTTTTGGTGATTAATTGGAGATAAGAGTCTGACCACTTAACTGGCAGGGCTGGCTTCAAACCACAATCCTCAGATCTCAGTCTCCTGAGTTTGCTAGCATTACAGGCATGACCCACCGGTACGTGGCCACTATTGATTCTTTTTTTTTTTTAATTTCTTTTTTTTTAAGTTAAAGCTTTTCTTCACATTTTTAAATTGTTATTGTAAAGGTGATGTACAGACAGGTTATAATAGTTATATAAGTCAAGTAATAAGGACATTTCTTTTTGAACAGTGTTGCCCTTCCCTCACTTTCCATTATTGACTCTCTAAACCTAACTGTATTGTCTACGTCAAAGGTAAAGGGCAAAGGCTGACTCCTAGATAATGTCACACATGTGTACTGTATGTTCTACTGCTTGCAGGTGTCATGGGTGCAGTGAGTAGCACTAGCGTATGAGCTCCAGCTCCCAGGGCCAGCACAGCCCCCTGCCGGCTTTCCTGGGCCTTTACCCCACAGTGCAGCACCACACAGGCACACGAGTCGCATGAGCTGGCTTAACGCAGCACTTTTTACTTTATTAGACACTGAAGCACACACAAATGGCCACTCTCCACAGAGCAATACTGGAAGAGAATCACACTGCAGAGTCCCATCTTCATAAAAATGGCTCAATATTGATTTCCAGCGAGGAACAGGGCATGGTGAGCTCAAATCTGGTGATAACATCAGGATGAAGGACCCCAAGCTTCCCCACGCTGAGACCCCTGGCAAAGACCTCAGCACAGCGCCCAGGAAAGAATGCAGGGCCTGAAACACACAGAAAAACAATCAGTATTTCCTCTGGCCAAAAAAACCCAGCATAGATAGCTAACACCAGTGACACTGATCAAGATGCAATGTACTCATAAACTGTTGTATACAACTACTAAAAGATGGTAAGACATTTTAAATTAGAAATAAGTTTAAAAAATAGAAGCCTACCAGTCAACTTTAAAAATGATTCTCATCAAACCACTGATTATGAAAAGAGGCTTCCTTACTCCAACACTGGCAAAAGCATTTCTTTTGCTATTACACCAAGGAACCACGAGAATAAAGCAAGGGCAAATGTGACATCAAGGCAAGAGGAGGCTGCAGAAGAGGCAATGGGAGAGGCTGAAGGGAGATCTGTTCACACCCAGAACTGAGAAAGAATTAAAACTGATGGACCACATGAGAAGGGTCCCGCTAAGAAGAACATAGTAGATGCACTTAGCTTCCCTCCCTTACTTCATGGAGAAACCCAGGCTGAAGTGTCATGGCAGGCCACTGGAATCGGCACGTCTAATTACAGGCCACCCTGTGCAGTGACGGCCGTTCCTGTCTATAAGTGCTTCCTAAGCAATTCTGGGGTTACTCATGTGGACCCACTGCAAAGACCAGGCTCCCCCACAAGTCCCAGCTGATCCTGGCTGTGCTTCAAGATGGGCAGAAGGCTCACTCTTCATTTGGTACCAGAGCCTGAACAGCTTGCAAACCAGCACCACCCTGGAGGTTTCAGCAGCTAAGAACATACACACACACAGGATCATCCCCTACTTGCTCCATCACCAGAGCCACAGGAAGTGATCAAGGCTCTGCACTCGGTTCAAATTGTCTTTTAAAGTTCACTCATCTCTTTCACCACCCACTTGAAGAAGGATCAGGCCCGCTGCTCTTAAAAGATGTAACCAAAACATTACTGGCACGGTCTATAAATACCCAAGCAGAGTCAAGAATCAAGTTTCCAGCCTGCTACTCAGAGCAAGTGCATTATTTATGGAACAGTAAACTGCTGAGTCTCTAATGGCTCCAAGGTCAGCATAATTAAGAATACAGAATTGGGCTGGAGGGGAGAAGAATCTGACACTGTTGAGTTAATACCACAGAGACATAGAATTACACATATAGTCCGATCAATATAGAAAGAGCTTTCTATTCTGGGGAAGACTTGAAATATATTTTTAATTGGCATTCAAAACCCCAAAGCAAAATATAAAGTGTCTGATTTTTCACAATCTGCCAAGCTTAACAATTCTGCTCGCTATCAAGGCACAAAGTCCACTGAACAGCATGGAAGTGCTGTATTTGGCTCTGTGCACTAATCCACTTAGCAAGAGGGTGAAGAAGGGAATCACACAAGATTGAGAACAGAAAGGCATGGTGGGATGTGTATCTGATAGAGACTACAAATTTTAATTCTATCAAATGAAAGCCAAACTAACGACTATGACTCCAACAACAACAGTGGAAAACAAACAGGAAGAGAATTTGTAAAGGAATTAAAGACTAGAAGAAATCTTCAAATGACAAAAACCGAAGCTTGTCTGAAGGTGTTGGTAGTGATCTGAAGGAGTGCTGGGAACCAGTTCTTTCAGAACTGCTCCCCACATTGAACTGGACCTGAACACACACACACGCACACATGCGCGCACACACACACACCTGCACCTGATAACCTTGCTATACTAAAAATCTGGCCTTGGATCTATCTTTGAGTTGAATTTGATCATACCCATTTTAACAGAAGCATAAAACCAAAATATTTTAGAATCTAAGCCAGATGTACTAGTTCTGACAATGTTAGCAAAATACAGCCTCAGAAATAACAAGGCAGAATTTTTACTTCACACAACTTTCTGAGTCAGCACTTCTAAGCTGAATGCAGTTATATTATCTTTCTCTCTCTCTCTCTCTCTAGGAATTTGCATCAAACTTTGCTTTAGCTCATTAACGAGCTATGTATGTGATCAAATAAACAGAAACATTCCTATCACTAAATAAATTCTTCTTTCTGAAAGGCAAAGGAAACTGAAATTCGAATCATATATGATACATGATAGAAGACAGATCTACATGTGATAGATATGAATGAATAAATGAATGAATGACAGGAATATGAAAAGCTCTTATCCCACACAAGGACCCATATGAGTCATGACAGCACCCTAAAACTCCCCTTGGTCAAAATGCCTACACCAACAAGGCAGGAACTAAAGGGACCTGCTATCCTGTCAGTCAGCACTAAGCGTGTCCCCACCTCATTCTCAGATCCTAATAAAGCCCCAAACTGGGACTTCTGTATATAATCCACTTCATGGAAAACTTCATGCTTTAACATGTGATGACTATTTTAACTTGTCCTGCCATTTTTCACTTTTTTAAAACTTTTATTGGCAATACCAGTGACAGAACTCAAGGTCTTGTGGCTCAAGAGCTCTACCACTTGGAGCCATACCTCCAGGACTTTTTGCTTTCATTTATTTTTCAGATATTATCTTGCTTTTGCTTGGGGCTATCCATGGATTAAAAGTCTACCTAGCCCTCCTACCTATTTAGGATTATAAGCATGCACCACCACATGTATGAGGACCTGGATTCAATTCCTCAGCACCACATAAGCAGAAAAAGCCGGAAGTAGCACTGTGGCCCAAGTGGTAGAGCGCTGGCCTTGAGCTGAAGAGCTGAGGGACAGTGCCCAGGCCCAAAGTTCAGGCCCCATGACTAAAAACTTGACAGTTTCATCTTGCCTGTTCAGTTAGAACAAGACTGAAGTTCTGTCTTCTAAACACACACTTTGAGAAGTTTACAAAAATATCCATATTGAGAAATACACTTCAAACCTAAAAATATATCCCTTGCCTGATACCACCATGAACTAGAAAATAGTTTTTACCTACTAGAATGCAAGCATTTCTTAATGTTTTAACAAACTGCTTCACTGGCAAAATAAAGAACCCACAGTCCATGAAGGCAGCAGTGAGGCCCAGAATTTAAGATGACACCATGCTCATAGCTGGCAGGAGGGCAGCTTAGCATGGAAACTCAGCAGACTAATATAATCATGGTGATCGAGCTGGGACTAACACATTTGAAACCAGAATCCTTATCTGAACAGAACTGAGGAAGGGTCTGAGCCTTGTGGATATCAGATCTATATGATAACTAAAAGCTACCTGTGTAACATCAACAAACAAAAGCATTACTTTTTAAAAGCTTATTACATTAGTAATATGAGGGAGACGTTGTTAAAATATTTCCATATGTGCCTGATGTTCTTTTGAACAAATTCGCCCTGCTACCATGTTCACATCCTTCTACCTTCTCCCTTTTCCAAACAGTGCTTGGTGGGTTACTACCGCATCTTCATGTGTGTGTGTATGTATGTTTGTATAGGTTTGTATGTAGATGTGTGTATATGTATCATATAATCATTGTAGTCAATATATAATTCTATTATATGTACTATATTGTATATGTTATATATATAATACTGTCATATAGCACACACACTATGTGTGTAATGGTCTTTGGCTCTCTCCTCTTCCTCCTTCTCCTTTAGATTCACTGACCCCTCATAAATCTAAGTCTCTTTTAACAACCATGTCCTATTACCATTACTATTACTATCATTATAATTGTGGATTTCTACCTCAAACAAGCAAAGAACATACACTATATTGCTATTTGAGTTTGGCTCATCTTGCCTAACATGGTAACCTCTGCATCTACCCATGTTCCTGCAGATGGCATCATTTCATTCTTAATCCATCCATGGATAGTTAGGTACCTGAGCTGACCCCACAGTTTGGCTATTGTGAACAGATGCAATAAACATGGGTATGCTGGGATCTTCCTCTATAATGATTTACTTTCCTTTGAAATATATTCGAGTGGTATGGTGGGATCATAAGGTGTGAATTTCTAGAAAAGAGTAATGTGGAGTGTCCAGAGACATGGAGTTGCCAATTCATCTATTGTCTACAGAGCACAATTAGTTTAATCTATATTTTTAAGCCCATAGTCCCTGGTTTACTGATGTATCAAGTTGTATAAATAATACAATTTTCAGACAGGGAGGGTGGTTCAATGGTAGAATGCTTGACTTGCATGCATGAGGACCTGGATTCAATTCCTCAGCACCACATAAGCAGAAAAAGCCGGAAGTAGCACTGTGGCCCAAGTGGTAGAGCGCTGGCCTTGAGCTGAAGAGCTGAGGGACAGTGCCCAGGCCCAGAGTTCAGGCCCCACGACTGACTGACAAAAAAAAAAATTACAATTTTCAACCTCTATCTAAAGGTTCCTCTCAGACCTCTTGGAGGTCCTTGTGTTGATTAAACTTTTTGCACACTAAATAACTTCCAACACACACACACAAAAATGTGCAAAATAGATTTGGGGAAGATAATATTCTCTGTTCAAATACATGTGAAAAGCACAGACAAAAGAAACATCGGTTAAGCACAAATAAGAGTTTAATTTCCCAAGCTTAGTGGGGTGTGAACAAGCTCCTTAATTAAAGCCTTTGTGGAGTCTCTTCAAGGTCTGTAATCGTCTCTGTGCTCCAACAGCAGGGACACTCTGAGGACCTTGGGGTCATTCCTGGACCGTAATCCAGCACAGCACCCAGTCTTTAGCACATTTTCTGGCTAATTGACCATCAAAGCATTCAAGAGTGCCTTCTCTCACCCGTTGCCAAACACCTTTCACAGTTTCTTTTTGCCTCATCTTTTTTTAAAGAGTAATATTATAGGGCCCAAGAGTGGATAAGCTTTAGACATAGAGTCATTCCTTTAATTTCATGAAGCATCAGAAATAGAAGCTTAGGGTGGTAACTGAGCAGATCCTAATCTGAGAGCTTCACAGGGTCCTCAACCCAAACTCCTGCATTGGCTGTACACATTCGCTGAGCACCATGCTTGGTCCATCTCAAAAAACTCACCAAGTCTACTATGTCACCCCTCCTCTCTTCATGCAATCAGTACATGATTTTAGGAACAAGCTCACAT